CTGCAGTGGGAGCAGTCACTGAGCGGAGTGCATGAGATGTATCCTGACAGAAATAAAGTGGCAGAGAAAGCCAACAGCAAACCAACTTGGGCCAATTAACACATTTTAGAAAAAAAGGAGTATTTCAAACTTCTCCCTAGGCCATTATTTTAGAACATGATAATTTAATTGAAATGTAAAATGACAATATTGAACAAAGTTGTTTTCAAACCAACATACTACAAGGTAAATAAAAATAAAGTCTAGAGTTACGTTGAAAGTACTGGTTAATGGTAATTGTCTTGTTTTGGTAAATGTACCATGGTTATATAAAATGTTAACGTAAGGAGGCAGTGGACCAAAGGAAGAAAGTTTCAAAACTAATTCTATTCTCTATGATCATAAAGTTGTTTTAGAAAAGTTAGAAAGTGTTTATAAAACTTGGGAAAATGCTCTGCTTGACTTTCATGTTGTGGCTCTATCCTAAGAAGTGAAAAGTTGCACAAATTTAAACAAACAAACAAACAAACAAACCCCTAAACTCTTCCTAGAAATGTAAGTAACTGAACTGAGGTCACAGGGCCAAACCCCAAGTGCACAAGAGAGAGGTGTGTGGGGGACATTCTCAAAGAAACCATTATGGGTGGAGCTGTGTTTTATAAAAAGATAAAGGAGAGAAGGAATATGTTTGCTGGAGGTGTGGTAATATATGGGCCATGTTGAGGCATCCCTTCCCCTTTTAGGGACCAGCCACAGGATGGTATAGTATAGTTTATTCAGGGCATGGGGAGGGGAGTTGAGAGGTTAGTAGAGACAGAGAAAGTCAGGGGGGGAGGGAGAGAGGGAGGGAGGGAGGAAGGGAGGGGAGGGGAGGGAAGGGAAAGGGAAAGGGAAAGGGAAAGGGAAAGGGAAAGGGAAGGGAAGAGAAAGGGAAGGGAAAGGGAAGGGAAAGGGAAGGGAAAGGGAAAGGGAAGGGAAAGGAAAAAGAAATGGAAAGGGAAGAAAAGGGAAAGGGAAGGGAAGGGAAGGGAAAGGGGAAGGGAAGGGATAAGGGAAGGGAGGAGATGCGAAGGGAGGGGAGGGGAGGGGAGGAGAGGGAAGGGGAGGGAAGGGATGGGAAGGGGAGAAGTAGAGGCTGGCCATGAGCATGTGGAGAGAGGGGGTAAGGGAATGGGGTGAGAGAAGGAAGGGGCTAAAGAACAGAGCAACACAAGAGAGAGGAGGGGCAAGCGTCCCCTTTTGTAGTGAGTCAGGTATACATGGCTATTGCCAGGTAGCTGTGGGGTGGAGCCTAGACAAAATGCTAACAGGTGGGAAGTCCTGACTGTAGTCAACAGATTGGTAAAGGCTCAGAGTAGCATCTGACAGAGAAAAACTCCAGAAGGTCCAGCTGTGGGAGCTCCCAGAACTTTGTGAATTTTGCCTTCTGGAGATTCAGCCAGGTTCTCACAGAAACAGAAAAATCCACTCCATTTCAGATAAGGAATGCGAGAGGGAACTCTCAAGTACTCAGTTTTTGTTTTTGCTGTTCTTTGAATTAGGTTAGCATCAGGGAACAACAAGCTGCCTAAGTGAGCGATAGAGGAGGGGATGAATTGACTCCTGTCAATTCCAGGCAATGGTTCCATAGGATATAGTGGGGGAGGGGCTGAGAGGTGTGAGTGTTCACTTTCTAGAAGTACAGTCCCCCTAAATGACAGACTGTAGACAAATTTTTTCTGACTCCAATAGAACAGAAAATAATAAAAAAAATTTAAAAAGTAGGATCACATGAAATGATGATGCTTCAGCATAGCAGGGAAACAATTTCTAGAGTCACCAGATGGACTACAGAATGGGGAAAATTCATTACAGGCTATACCATCAGTGAGATGTTCATACAAAAAACTGTAAAAATTCAAGACCAGTACCCCCAAATCATCCAACCAGTAAGTGGGCATCTCTCAAAAAAGAAACACACGAGACCAACAAGGACTTGAAAAAGTGTTCAGCATTTTTAGTGATCAGGGAAATGCAAATTCAAAGTACCTTGAGATTCCATGTCACCTCAATTCAAATGGTAGTCACCACAAGTGACAACAAATGCTATTGAAGAAGTGAGGAAAGAGAAACTACCATTCACAACTGAAGATGGGGGGTGGGGGGGAGAAACTACCACTGATAATCTATGTGTGTAAAATTGTGTGAGCACTGTAAATAGTTTTAAACGGTCTCCTAGACACAGCAAAGAAGATAGAACGACTGTACCACCCAGGTATTGCATTCCTGAATATATCCACAAAGAAAGCCCAAGAAAACGAAGTTAGCATATGATAGAGATACTGGAGTATCCATGTTTATTGTTATATGGTATACAATAGCTAAAGAATGAAACCTGCTTAAATGCTCGTCAACACAGGAATAAAGTCTCTCTCTCTCTCTCTCTCTCTCTCTCTCTCTCTCTCTCTCTCTCTCTCTCTCACACACACACACACACACACACACACACACACACACAAACTGGAATTTTAGACAGTTATAAAGATGAAATTCACAGAAATAAATGGAGGCAGAACTCATATTAATCAAACAAATCAGCCTCAAAGGACAGATACCACATTGCTTTCATATGTAGAATATCAATTTAAAGTTAGATATGTGTTTAAAAAAAAACTAAATCCAATGTAAGTCTAACAAAAGGAATGTCAAAACACAATCCAATAAAACTGAGAATAAGAGGTCAATAGAGAAAACTCAATAAAACCGAAAGTCAGTGTCCTGAAGAAGTGAACAAGAAGTGATGAACTAACAGCTAGTCTAAGTATCAGGACACAACTTACCTCAAACATTACAGAGAGATGCACCTCACTTTAGACCCCACAGAAAGTACTCAAGCACTTCAGGCCCACAAACTTGATAATCTATGCTAAAAAAGACTATTTGAAATACATAATCTACCAAGACTCGCTGAGAAGAAATTAGCATAGAATATGGCTACATATTCTAATTTAATGGAATAGGCCTATATCTATCGATAATATCAAATCTACTAATTAGAAACCTTTTGAAAAAGTACCCCAGACTTAGAAGTGCTGAGTAATGAGTTCTACCACACAGTGGAGGAAGGAAATTCTATTACTTCTCTATGATATCTTTTCAAAGATAGATCCAAGGAGAATATCTCTTGAATGAGTCATTTGTGAAGCCCACATTACTTTAAAACTAAAACCAAAGACACTGCAAAAAGAAAATGTCGTGGTTCAGTTTGTATTGACAGAACAAAATATTTTAGAGCAGGTTAACTTATAAAACTATGTAACTGGCTTATGATTCCATTAGCTAGAAAGCCAGAACTACATGCTACTGGCATTGAGTGAACCATCCTTCTCTTCGCCCCGTCAGGCCTGCATCACAAGGTAAACATGGCATGTGAAATAGCTACATGCCAAAATATGGAGGAGAAGGAGCTGAGACTACTTTATAACAACCAATTCTCTAGGGAATTAAACAGTTGCATAGGATCTAGCACAAAAGAAAAATTAAGAACAAAAGTCAGTTAATATAGTATATCACTTCAACAGAGTAAACAAGAAAAATCAGATGATCATGTAAACAAAGGCATACAGAGCATTTGAGAAATCGTAAAACCCATTAGAAGTAAATGTTTTCAGCAAACTAAGAATAAAGAGAGCTTCTTTGATTAGATTAAGAACACACACAAACACAGTCATACAGCATTATGTTTAATGGGAGAAACTCAGTTTCCCTGTAAAGATCAGGGAAAATGCTAGCATGTACTCTTCCTGCTATGTTTCAGCACTGTGCTGGAAGACTTAGGGAATGTACTACAAGAGGAAATAAAACATGTACAAATAGAGAAAGAAGAAAAGAAAGAAACTTCCATTTCAGAGGATATGATGACATGCATGTAAAAAATAGGAAAAACTCTGAAACTAGCAAGCCATTATGTTAAGTTTTGCAGAAACCTATACGTAGGTATTTATAACAGCTCTGCTCACATTTATGAAAACTTTGAAGAAGTTAGCTATTTTTAAGTTGGGGAGTTGACAAAACTGTAGCATGTCTAGCAATGGAATATAACTCAGGTGTCGAATATTATTCAGAGTCAGAATAAGCTATCAAGTCATACACGCATATGGAGAGAATTTAAGTATAAATTACTAAGTTAAGGAAACCCATCTATAAAGTCTGGAGAGTGAGTTATTACAAATAAATGAAGTTCTGGAAAAAGAAGAAGTGTGGACAGTAGGAGCATCTGTATCAGCCAGGCGTAAAGCTGGAAGCAAGAGCTGGATGAACATACAGAGCACAGGGATTTTAGTACAGTGACGAAAGAAATAGTTCTAAAAAAAAAATGCCACAATGGTAGAGACGCCTCATCCTACACTTGTTCAGACTCATACTGTACACCACCATAAGTGAGCACTGATATATTCTATGGGCCCTCGTTGGACATGGGGGTTAAGTGCAGGCTCATTTCTAATCGTGTCTCTCTGGTGAGAGATATTAACAGTGGAGGAACTTTCAATTGTAGAGACCACCTGTGAAATACCTGCATCTTTCATTATTTTATGAGAAAATAAAATATGCTCCATAATGCCAAAGAATGTTAACATCTTAAAACATTACCTTGATTCAGCCACGATGATTTGCTGAGGAACATGAAGGAAGGCCCCATGATAGCAAGGTGATAAAAATATTAATTGATCATAAGGAGTAATCGAGATAAGAAAACCTCCAAGGACCACGGTTATATTAGAGCTCAGCCCTACCACAGTGCATACTGCCCATAAGATTTGCAAAATGAAGAAACTAAGGACTCCACCAAGAAGTTAATAGATGGAAAATAAGGTTTTCATGTTATATGAAGCTTGTCTGTCAGGTTAACAGCCACCATGACATCCTGGGCTTAGCAGACCTCCCATATATACTCGCAGCCTGCTTGAAAGAGGCCAGAGTCTGAAAATAGACGGGTTGTGTTTTCTGTGAAGCAATGGATGGACAGATCCAGACAGACTCACACAGCCTTGCAGAGCACGCTCAGTTAGACGGGAACAGGTCTATTGCAGAAGAGCAGGGGGAAACTTGACACAGATGAACAGCCACAGATGAGAAAGAGCCAGGCAGAAGTGGGGAGAGAGAAAAAAAAAAAAGAAAGAAAACAGAAAGGTTAGTAGATGCTTGGTTAACCTAAATGAACATCCAATTGTTCCCAATGGAGAATAGGGAACCAAGTATGGTTATTCTGCAACACTGTTGTGCCATATCGTGGATTTAAAGCACTGCTTTATAGAAGGTGGCATTGTATTTTAAATATGTAAATGTACGATGAGGATATTGAATATCTAGTTACATCACTAATCTACTTTTCCACTAAAAGCTGTGCAACTTAAACCAAAATCTTTGGAATAGAGAAGCACTGAGCAAATGCCTCTTTAGGAGGACATAGAGCCCTTTGGGGATGTGCCCAAGTGGTATAACTCTATCCTGTGGTAGACCCATTTTCCATTCTTTTTTTTTTTAATACTTGAAAGACAGTGACACTTATTTTCATAGTGACTTCACCGGTCTGCAATCTTACCAACAGTAAATACCTTTTCCCCTTTCCACCATTCGTGTCAGCATTTATTAATTAATTATTTATTTATTTATTTTTTGCTGTTTTGAATGGGATAATATAAAATCTCAAAGTAGCTTTAATTTGCATTTCTAAGGGCTAAAGATGTTGAACACTTAAAACAAGATTGCTTAGCCGTTTTTCTTTCCTCTTTTGAGAACTCTCTGACTAGTTCCACGCCCTGTTTTTTAGTTGAGTGATTTGTTTTCTTGGTGTTTAGTGTTTTTTTAAGTTCTTTTTATATTCAAGACCTTTTGTCTAGCTGGTAAAAATTCTTTTCCATTTCCATAAGCTGCCTCTTCACTTTATTGATGGTATTTTTTTGTTGTTGTAGTACAGAAGCTTTTTAGTTTTATGAAGTTCCATTTATCAACTGTCAATTTGAATTCCTGTATCATTAGAGTCCTACTCGGAAAGTCGTGTTCTGTGTCCATAAATTAAAGCATATTCCCAACTTTCTAATCTAACTGATCTAGGGTGCTTGATCTTCTTTTGAGGTTCTTCATCTATTTAGAATCCAGTTTTGTGCAGGGTAAGAGAAAAGGATCTAATTTCATCCACACGCAGCTATCCAGTTTTTCATCCCTATTTGTGAAAGTGCTGTCTTTTCTTCAATGCATATTTGTTAGAAATCAGATGGTGGTGGGAGCCTGGGTTTAATATGTAGATTTTCAGTTTGGTTTCACTGATCAATGTGTTTTTTGTAATTTATATGACCATACTGTTCTCAGTACCATGCCGTTTTGATTACAATGGCTCTGTAATGTAACTTGAAATCAAGAATGGTGATACTTACAGCAGTGTTTTTATTGATCAGGATTGTTTTGGATATCAGGGATCTTTTGTGTTTCCATATGAAATTTTATTTTATTTTTTTCAGTATCAGTGAAAGACCATGCTATAAATTTGATGGGGATTATATTGAATCTGTGGATTATTTTTGATAGGATGGCCATTTTCACAATATTAATCCTACCAATATATGAGCACCTTTCCACATTCTAGTATCTTCTTCAGGTTCTTTGGTTCTGAAAACTACTCCTGAAGTAGAGAGTTTTGTTTTATTTATTTTTTTTAGATTTATTTCAAGATATTTTATTTACACCTTTTTGAGACTACTGTAAATGGGGTTGTTTCCCTTATTACTTTCTGTGCTTCTTGTTAGTATATAGGAAGCTACTGACTTTTGTGTGTTAATTATATGTTCTGCTGCTTTGCTGAATGTGTTTATCAGATGTAAAGGTTTTCTGGAGGAGTCTCTAAAATTTTCTATGAATATAATAAAATCATTCACACAGAAGGATACTTTGACATCTTCTTTTCCTATTTATATCACTTCTATCTGCTCTTGTCTTATTGCTATAGAAAAGACATAAAGCACCATATTGAACAAGAGTTGAAATGGTAAACATCTTTTTCTTGTTTCTGATTTTAGAAGAAATATTTCAAGTTTTTCTAATGTTGGCTTGTTGACTTCTTATTTTGTTAATATGTTTCTTGTAGCTCCAATTTCTCCAGGAATTTTATCCTGAAGGGATGTGGGATTGTTATTGGCCTTTTTTTACATCTAATGAAATAGCCATATGGTTTCTGTTCTTAAGTTCATTTGTGTGGTGGTTTATATTTATTAATTGGACTGACCATCTTTGCATATCTGGGATAATGGATTGCTTTGTTGTTTTTTGTAGTGTGGCATACGAGTATTTTTTTTTTTTTAATTTTGCATCGATGTTTATCATGGAGATTGGTATATAATTTTATTGTTGTTGTTGTGTGTCTTAATCTGATTTAGATATCAGATTAAATGTAATGCTGGCTTCATGAAAGGAAGTTGGATGCATTCTTTCCTCTTCTATTTTATAGAAGACTTTGAGGAGTATTGCCTTTAATCCTTTTTTAAAAGCTCCAGTAGAATTCTGCAGTAAATATATCTTGTTCAGGGATTTTTGTTTATTTGGTTAGTTGGTTTTGAGTAAGTTTTTTTATTACCAAGTCAATACATGAGCTTCTGAGATGATACCTAGTATTTGGATAGAATGTTCTATAAATATCATGGATCCATTTAATCTATGATATCATTTAGCTCTATTTCTCTGTTTATATTTTGCCTGGAATATCTGTCCATTGTTTATGATGGATTATTTAAATTGCCTGCTATTAATGGATTGGTGTTAGATTAATCTGTTGTTTTGCATCAGCAGTGTTTGCTTAATGAAGTTGCCTGCATATATATTTAGGGTTTTAATGTCTTCTTGATGGATTGTTCACTTGACCTACATGAAATAACATCTTTTCTTAAGAGTTTTGATTTGAAGTCTATTTCATTGGATATTAGAATAGAACCTCTTGCTTTCTTCTTGGTTCCATTTCATTGAAACGTTTTTGCTCATCTTTTTACTCTCGGGTGAGTTCTGTCTTTAGTGGTGAGGTTTGTCTTGGAGGCAGCAGAATGGTGAACCTTGTTTTGTAACCCAGTCTGCTATTCTGTGTCTTTTGACCAGGATGTTGAAACACTAATGTTCAAGGTTGCTACTAAAAGATGTTCGGTGATTCCTGCCATGTTGTTGATTTTGTGGTTTCGTTCCCTGCACCCCCCCTTAGGTTTCCTTATCTTAGTTTTATGCTTATTCCTTTTTCAGTTTGAAGTATTAGAGCTGACTTGGTAGTCATGAATCCCTTTATTGTGCATTTATTGTGGAAAGTTTTTCTTTATCCATTGTTTATAACTCATATATATATATATATATATATATATATATATATATATAATGTATACATATGAGATTCTCAGTCTAAACCCTTGTTGCTTTAAAAGTCTCTCTTGATTTGAAAACTCAGTTGTAATTTTGATGAGCCTGACTCCATATGTGACTTGGTTTTTACATTTTTTTTTTCAGTTTTCAATATCCTTTATTTGTTCAACAAGGTTAGTGTTTTGACAGTTACACAGCACTGCTGATCCTGTCTGTGCAGGATGCTGTAAGTTGCTTGTACTTTGGTAGACATCTCTTTCCTTAGACTTGGGGGATTTTCTTCTTTGGTTTTGTTGAAAACATTTTCTGTGCATTTAATCTGGGTTTCTTCTTCTTCTATAGCTATGATCCATTCATTTGGCCCATCTATAGTGTCTCAGAATTTCAGAATGTTCTATTCATAGTGCTTTTGTTATTGTTATTTGTATTTTAAGTCTATCATTTTCCTTGACTGAACGATCTGATTTTTCGGCCTTGTCTTCATGTCTTAATATTTCCTCTCCAATTGATTCATTCTATGTTGGGATTTTTCATTTAGCTTTTTATCTGATGTAGTGAAAATTTTATTTCAGGTTTTATTTTAGTTAGGTTTCCTTCTCCCCCGAAACTCTAGCTCTTTATTAATTTTTATTTTTTATATCTTGAGTTGTTTTCCCTGTTTCATTCAACTGTGTGTACCATCCTGATCTTCAATAGGCATATATTCATATCCACTTCAAATTCCTCAAACATATTTATAATTGGAAATACTTGTCTACTGTGTCCTCTAAGTTGCTTTTATCAAGGAACATTATGAAGGGAGTACGAGTTTTTGGAGATAACACATTGTCACAGTTATCTGTGTTGTCTACAATCATGTGATGGAACCTAGGCATCTGGAGTTAAGTTGTGAGTGGTGGTTTTGGTATTGATATCCAGCCCATGTCTATTGTTACTTTGTGGATGTTTGAATCTCCATTTGCTGTTACCTCAACCTGTCATGTTTAGGATCAGCTGTATGCTTCTTGCTTTTCAGTCTTAGGGTCACTTACTGTTGATGTGCAAATGGGGTACTTTTTCTGATAGAAGTTGTCCTGAGTCAGGTATGGTTGGTACAGTTCTGGATACTGGAGCAAATCTTCTGTAGAGTTAGAAGACTCTTATTGCTGGTGTTCAGAAATGTGTGGAAGGTTCACAAGGTTCTACCTCTGGGCCTTACATAGGAGAAGCTGGACTTGCAGGAGTGGGCTGTGTTACCCAGGAGAAGTATGAGAGGCCCTACAGCTACAGTCTTTGGGCAGCAAGGGTAGGTTGTTGTAAGGTGGGGATTGTTACCCAGGGGAGGTGCATAGACGTTCATGCATGGACCTCAGGCAGCCAGAAGAGTCATGATGGAGGAGAAGGTCACTACCTGAGGGAGATACACAATACTCTATATGACCCTCAGGCTACGAGGCTGGAGATTTTTTTTACAGGGATGGGATCTGGTGATGAAGGATACTACTACATTTGCTTACTTGAAAACTCACCTAATAATTTTTTTCTGAGCCTAATATTAATCACTCATATGACTGGATGTTTGAAAGTAATATGTCTGGAGGTATAGGGAAAATTAATATTCCTTTGTGAAAAAAACTCAGAAGATGATATAATGTTCATAAATACTTTACTACACACTAAAATAGGCTATATTAACCATTACATGTGGAAAAAAAGGTTAAGCTAAGACTTACAT